GGGCAGCAGAACTTACAAGAAAAGCAGCTTAAACAAGACAGTTAAAACTGACAGCAGTATTAAATGGTGCACCATACCCAGCCCTTTCCAGTCACTTTCAAATTTGGAAGGTCCAAAAATGAACCATTTTGCCTGCAGTTGTTTCAGTCAGGATCAAGCTAAAAAGGAAGCCTAAGTGAGCCTCTGTAGGTCCCAGGAGAGTACAGACATCCAGAAGCACTAAGGAAACTTCAGATAAAGCAGCACTTCTACAAATGTCACCTGCAGTCTTTTTCCAGAAAGAGGGGGCACAAGATCCTTTTAAGGGTCTGCAACGTTAAAGCTATTTTCTTAATAATGTTAAGACATTAATTTTTTCACTGTATTGATAATGTGCACTATTCATGCTAAAAGCACTGTTGGGTAAAACTGCTGGCATTTTACCAAAATCAGACAAGTGGCACCAAACTATACTAGTAGTCACTGTATTCACCACCACCACACACTTGCGATTTAAAAAAAAAAAAAAAAAAAAAAGTTTAAAGCCAGTTTCATTAAAGATTGTCCATCGTGGCTAGGTGCAGCAATTCACCCCTGTAATCTCAGCACTCTGGGAAGCTGAGGCAGGCAAACTGAGTCCAACAGTTCGAGGCAAGTCTGGGCAACATAGAGAAATCCCATCTCTACTAAAAAATACAAAAAATTATCCAGGTGTGGTGGTGTACCTGTAATCCCAGCTACTCGGGGGACTGAGGTGGGAGAATCACCTGAGCCTGGGAGGTTGAGGCTGCAGTGAGCTGAGATTGTGCCACTGTACTCCAGCCTAGGCAACCAGAGTGAGACCCTGTCAAGGAGGGAAGGAGGGAGGGAAAATGTCCATCATTACTTTTATAAAATTCTCAAGTACATATCTTTTTAATGCTCTGTGACAAAATGAGAAGTACACACAAAGAACTTGTGCTGCATACCAAAGTATGATGTTTGTCTCAAAAACTACTTGTGTGATTAAGTTGTGAGTTGAACTAGCTGCTATTTTCATTGGACACCATTTTTATTGTATATGGTCATTCAGTTTTGTGTATTTAGAATACATTTTTTTGGAAATGAACGAAGTGAACCTATCACTTCAAGGAAAATGACTGACAACGTTTGTTGCCAATGATAAAATGTGAGCTTTCAAGCAAAAATTGGAATTTTTAGAAAACTTGTATCTGCTACTTTGACCTTGAGATCTTCCTAAAACTTAAAAAATGTTGTTGATGAGATAGGAAGTATTAACAATGGTGGTATTTTGATGCTGTATAATGAAATGTGTCAACATATAGAAGATATGCATAATTCAATGAACCAATATTTTCTAACTAAACGATGCAAGATATTTCAAAATCATGTAAGGGTAAAAGATCTATCCTAAGTGCAAAGATATAAAGAGTACAAAAAATTCATTGATACGGTTTCAGATTCCACTTTGCAACTCACCTTTAAGAAACTTCTACGTGTCAAGTTTTGAAGTGGTATCAAAAAAGAATACAATTATTTGAAAAGTCTATTAAAATATGCCTCCCTTTTCCAACTACTTATCTGTGGGAGGTCGGATTTCCTTCATATACTTGAATCACAAGACGTAGCTAAATAGACTGAATGGAAAAACATATATGAGAATCCAGTTGAAAATTATTAAGCCACATATTAGATTTGCAAAAATGTAAAATAATACCCTTCTTGATAATTTTTTGTTATTTTTTGGAAAGTAGTTATTTTTCATTAAAATACTGTTCATTATTTATGTCGACATATAGTAGGTTTCTTACATTTAAGAAATCTATTAGTTTTAATTTCAAATACAGTAAATATTGATAAATACAGCCTACATAAGCTAAAGTTCTTTGGAGTCCTCAATAATTTTTTTAAGAGTGTAAAAGGGTCCCTAGACTAAAACATTGCTGTGGAAATAAAGTAAGTTATAATGCCACCTACTGGCAAGGCCTGAAATCCCTGCTGCTCCTGAAAGCAGCAGCTACCAAACTGTTTCCTCATGTATATCCAGATAGGTCTCAAAGAATGCTCTTCTTTGATACTCAGCCAGGGGAAGGCAGCTGGAGTGAGTGGGGGAGATTTTGAGACAGAATTAGAATTCTCCTACTGAGTAGCAGTAATAATCCTCCCCAGTGGCCTGTCTTAAGAACTTAAACCACAGGTTACTGAAGTTGGCACCTGTAGTATAAGAGATTTACTTTTAAGTGTTTTGTTCATTTGACTCCTTAGAGCTGTGTCTCTTCACAGTTTGTTAACTCCACTTATTTCTTCTTCAGAAATATCTATCACTATGTTTTATTCCCTTATAGGGGAAATACCTAGCTGGGCTCATTGAAATTTAGGCATTGGTCCTAAAGAAATATGTAGGCATCATGATTCCAGGCAGTTGAATGCTCTTGGGATTTTATTCAGCCTCTAAGTTGCCTCTGTGGGCTCACTAAAATGAAGAGAAAAGAACAGTTTGGGGGAGAGGTTTTTTTCTTACTATGACCATGTCTGTCTAACAGTTCCTTGTTTGCAATCATCCAACAGAAAACTGAAGCCATTTGAAGCTTCTCCCCACCCCACCCCATGCATTTCCAACATGCTTCATTTTCCTTTTGGCATTGCTCATAATACTGATTCAAACTTCACACTTCCCTCTTTTTGTTTGTAGATTTTAAATGGAGGGACTCCAGACATTCCTTCCAGTGGCCTACTATCAGGCCAGGCTCAGGAGAACCCAGGTTATCCATATTCTGATAGTTCTTCTATTCTTGGTAAGTGGCATTATTATTCATTTCCATTGCAATGAGCTTGCAAAACATCTGACATAGTCAGTTTTAAGAACTGAACTGTATGAAACAAGCTAATCCTAGATAAATTTGATAGGAACAGAATAAAAGTTTAAAATTTGTTTAACTCTCTAAAAAGTTGACTTCAGTGTTTGAGTTTTGGTGGAGGTCCAAATTTGTGCCTGGAACTCAAGAGGAGGCTACAGCTACCTAGACATAGGCTTTCTCCCATGTGGGGCATAATCTCTTCAGAGAGGCGGCTAATGAAGGTTCAGAGATAATGCCTAGAAGGGTGATTAGTAAGCATATCAGAAGGTACTAAAAGTCATTAAGTGAAAAGAGTTTGCTTTTCCCATCACATCCATCTTTTTCTGTACTTGTCTTTCTAGATCTGTTTTTTTCCCCTAAACTCTCCCTTCCTATTTGCCTTTCTTTTTGTAACTCCTCTTAACTGGTTATATCAGAATATTAAAATAAGCTCAACTCAAATATTTTTAGGATTAAATTTTAAGCACTTTTTACTTATTTCTAAAATGATCATTTGATTCCTTAGAGCTGTGTCTCTTCACAGCTTAACCCCACTTATGTCTTATGTATTTTTTTAAAATTGGTTCTTTCCTCTGAAAAACAGCAATATAAAAAAAGATAGCCATGCAGCCCAAAAAGCAGCCTCTCACCCTACCGTTAAATGTAACTTTCTTATTAAAAGTGTGCTTAGGAATTGCTTACTTAATCCGCTTTTAAAAAAAAAAAATCACTGACCTGTCTTTATCTCCTCCCACAGGTGAGAACCCCCACATAGGTATAGACATGATTGACAACGACCAAGGATCAAGTAGTCCCAGTAATGATGAGGCAGCAATGGCTGTCATCATGAGCCTCTTGGAAGCAGATGCTGGACTGGGTGGCCCTGTTGACTTTAGTGACTTGCCATGGCCACTGTAAACCCTACATGTTGCTTTGGCAACAGCTATAGTATCAAAGTGCATTACTGGTGGAGTTTTACAGTCTGTGAAGCTTACTGGATAAGGAGAGAATAGCTTTTATGTACTGACTTCATAAAAGCCATCTCAGAGCCATTGATACAAGTCAATCTTACTATGTGTAACTTCAGACAAAGTGGAACTAAGCCTGCTCCAGTGTTTCCTCATCATTGATTATTGGGCTAGCTGTGGATAGCTTGCATTAATTGTATATTTTGGATTCTGTTTGTGTTGAATTTTTTAATCATTGTGCACAGAAGCATCATTGGTAGCTTTTATATGCAAATGGTCATTTCAGATGTATGGTGTTTTTACACTACAAAGAAGTCCCCCATGTGGATATTTCTTATACTAATTGTATCATAAAGCCGTTTATTCTTCCTTGTAAGAATCCTTTACTATAAATATGGGTTAAAGTATAACGTACTAGACAGTTAAATATTTTTAATAAATGTTTCCCTTGTTCTATAAATACTGTTCACACTTCAAATAATTAGAAAAAAAAAATCCTACGTGTTGCAGGGCTGGATTATGAGTTTCTACAGTGGATGTTCAAGGATGATCTACGCCAGTAAAATTTGTGGTGCTTTTCTGGCCTTCATAGCAATTCTGGGCTTGCATAATTTCCCCATGCTACTAGCTTAGCTGTGTTGTTAAAATAGTTCATTTCTAAATTGTTGCAATTTTAATTTATGTGAGAGCAAAGATGTTACTGCTTACACACAAACATCGAATCCTCTGAAATTATAAATTCAAGATTATATTTAACACATTGGCTTTTCTAATGCTGCACCTCTCTAATACTACTTCAGTTATATAGTCAGTGACCCCAGTCCTAAGGCACCTAAATATTTGATTCCTTCTTGAATTGGACCACAGAATATTTAGAATAACATTTGCATAAATAATTTGCTAAGCAAAGTAGCATGGTATCATGGAAAAAGCACTGAACTAGTATGAGAAACTGGCTCTGAAACTTAGGGTGACTATATGAACTAGTAAAGTCATTTTGCCCTTCATATCAAGTTGGACTAGAAAATACTCTTTTCAGCTCTAATATTGTTTTGATTTATAGTATATTTTATAATTAGTAGGGAATTTAAATGCCTCATCACACATATAATAAGTTAAAGTTCCTTGAGCTACTATTTCTAATAATACTTATACCAGGGGGATGGGAAATTATGAGACTAAAAATCTAGTCAACGTGGTTATAAATTTGGTCAGAAACATTAAAACAATGGAATTTTATTTTGATGAAAAACTCAAGTTTACAATCATTTAGTAAATGAAGAGCAAACACTTCATTTTCCTATCCCATAACTCTTAAGAAAAAAAAAGCATTAGTAAATAAATATCTGTGAACAGATTAAGGGTAAGGCAGACTGGATAATAAACCACCTCTGACTTTCACACTCCCTGCATGTGACTCACTCTAAAGGGTGAACCGGCCCTGGAGATAACTGCACTGGTAAGATACGGGCATTAAATCTCATCCTGATCATTCAGATAAACCCAAGATAAATACTTTTTGCTCATCACGGGCAGCAAACTATACAATTTTTACTGGAGGAATACTTTGACAGAAGCACTTAAATTATATTGTGTATCACAACTATAAAATGGCTTGAACATTTCCATTTAACCACCATTTATAAAGTGCAACTATAGAATACTCTGCATTTTATCTGGGGTGTGATGACTATCAATCCAAACTGAAAGTACCCCAGCTGCCAATTTCCACCACTTTTGAAAAGACCTAGATGTGTGAAAAAGGACCGTCCCCCATACAAAGAACCAATTTCACAAACCTACTGGTAAACAAATACATTTATATAACTGGAACTTCAAAATGCTAGAGTTGTACTCATTTTTTAAAAAACCATTCAGCTACCTTTGGTCTTTAAAAAAGCCTACACTGCAATATCCTAAACATTGTTATGTGCATCTCACAATGAAGAACAGTGGCCTTGCAGTGCAGAATGAGGAGAGTACAACGTCACTGTGAAGAGTAGCATGCTATGGTTTCAAGGAAAATCAGCATCACAACATTGGATTCTGTGCATCAGGATCGAGGTCACTGTTGCCAGAAGGGGGATGGATAGGGAGAATATCCAGCTCATCCACTTGCGGAGTTGGGTGCATGACTACCAGCTGGTCCTGGGGAATGTCTGCTGCAGCTGCTGCAAGATTGGTGATAGATTTACTCTTTACACACTGAAAGTCTACATGCCGACTCTTTCCTTCTTCCTTCTCCCAGGACATTCGAATAAAGGGCCTTTGGACATAGTTGTAGATCACTTCTGGGCGGCCTCCAGGCCTTTTCTTTACTTTTTCTTTGTAGGTAGGATAACCTGAAAGAAAGAAAGATTTTAAAAACCGAGGAAACACACACAGACCTTTCACCCAATTTTGCCTTAGAAAGCTTTTGTGCTATAGATCCTAAAGAAACAGAAATTAAAACAAAGAAGTGAAAACAATATTCCATCCACCTACTCATCAGTTCATGAGCCAGAGATGAAAACCCTACTGATGTAATTCACAAAATCTATCATTCTTTCAAATTACTCAATATACCCACCATCAAAAAAAAAAAAATTCTTAAAGTAGGAGTATGTTGGAGATGAGTCCTCAGTACAATAGTATGGAGCAGATCTTGGTCTCTAGCTATGTATCTTTTTTTTTTTTTTTTTGACATGGAGTCTCACTTTGTCAGCCAGGCTGGAGTGCCATGGTACAATCTTGGCTTACTGCAACCTCTGCCTCCCGGGTTCAAGCAATTGTCCTGCCTCAGCCTCCAGAGTAGCGGGTATTACAGGCATGTACCACCATGCCCAGCTAATTTTTGTATTTTTAGTAGAGAGGGAGTTTCACCATGTTACCCAGGCTGGTCTCGAACTCCTGACCTCAAGTGATCCACCTCGGCCTCCCAAAGTGTTGGGATTACAGGTGCGAGCCACCGCGCTGGCCTCTAGCTATGTATCCTTATATTCTCGTCACAGGATTACCTGGCCTACAGGCCTGCAAATTATGCCACATTAGCCTTCTAGTTTCCTTAAACCTACATCTCATCTTTATATTGCTCTGACTTTTTTCTTCCCTTTTTTCATTAAAAGAAAAAGCTGTACAGCTCTCCAGGTGGTTCTTGATACTTCTGCATCTAGATCAGCAAGGCCAACATTTTAACCTCCCATATCATTTTTAACATTACTACTCCCAAAAACCAAGCATTCAATTTACAGTCACATTTCCAAAGCAGCGTTCCCTGATTAATAATACCTAATATTACCTTCCTCTTTTGGAACATAGTCACTTAAAAGTAAGGACAACCCTAGATTTGAAAAAAACAAAAAAAACAAAAAATTATTTACTAGTAAGGCTATTTCTCCAAAGATAAACTGTCCTTAAGAAACTATTACAGACATCTTCCCTTCTTTCTTCTAGTAAGAATTAACTAGTTTGGACCAGGGATTGGCAAACATTTTCTGTAAAGGGCCAGAGTAAATACTTCAGGCTTGTAGGCCACATGGTTTCTACTAGAACTACTTCACTCTGCCACTGTAAAGTGAAATCAGCCACAGAGAATATGTAAATAAATGAGCATGTGTATGTTTTTCTTTTTTTGGAGATGGAGTCTCTGTCACCCAGGCTGGAATGCAGTGGTGCTATCTTGGCTCACTGCAACTTCTGTCTTCCAGGTTCAAGAGATTCTCCTGCCACAGCCTCTAGAGTAGCTGGGATTACAGGCGCCTGCCACCACACCACAGCTAATTTTTGTATTGTTGGTAGAGATGGGGTTTCACCATGTTGGCCAGGCTGATCTCAAACTCCAGACCTCCAGTGATCCTCGGCTTTGCAAAGTGCTGGAATTACAGGCGTGAGCCACTGTGCCCAGCCACATGTGTATGTTTCAATAAAACTTTATAAGAAACAGGCAAGGAGCTGATTTTGGCCCATAGGCCAAAGTTAGACCATAGTTAGAAAAAATAGAATGGTCTCACATAGTAGGGGATCAATTACCAATTATTGCATAAGGAAATGCATGTAGGCATCATTGGTAGCTAGTACAAATAGCCATGTGTGGAGTATGTGTGTATGTGGTGGGGGTGAGATAGGTGCAGCGGGTGAACAAAGCTAAAAATCTAAAAACCTGTAGAATGTCTTTATTTCATACTTTTGGTCAATTGCCTCTGAAGGCAGCACCAGACATCAGAAAGGTCTCCATCTCCATTCCCTTGTCCTTGATTCCTCCTGGACTATTAGAAAGACTTTAGAATTCCCATCTCCTTGTATTCTGTCCTCCACACAAAATCACCACTCTAGACAAATGTAATCATATTACAATCCTTGCTTAAAAACTACCAATGGTTTCCTCATGCTTAATGGGAAGGTCTGTACTCTTTAGAATATTATACAAGGCTTTTTTACAACCTGGTTCCAGTCTACTTACTGTCATCTATTATCATACTACACTCTAACTCTAGAGTTCTTAAATACATCTGCCATATTAAGCTTTCCCGAAACATGCTTTTACACAAATTGTTCTGCTGCCTGTTCCCTCTCAGCCTCCTTACCCCTGAACTCCACCTTCTTTTATCCCTGGCAAAAACATTAAGACTCTCCACACAGTTAATCATTCACTTCTTATGTTCCATAGCACTCCCATATGTTAACAATACATAACAGAACTCAACTGTAATTACCTTTTTGTATGTCTGACTCTCTGACCTAAATAATGAGTTCCTATATGGCAGAGCCAGTGTCTTTGTTGGTGTATCCTCAGTGCCTAGCACAGTACCTGATAGACGGCAGGTGCTAAGCAAATATTTCAGCAAAGAGTGAATGAACTACAGGACATGCCAGTTACAAGTAATAACCTCTTCCAATATCCATCTTACTCAGAACATTTTTTCCTTTAAAAATAAAGTAAAAGCTCTTTGGGAGGCCAAGGCAGGCGGATCATGAAGTCAAGAGATCGAGTCCATCCTGGCCAACATGGTGAACCCCGTCTCTACTAAAAATATAAAAATTAGCTGGGTGTGGTGGCGTGAGCCTGTAGTCCCAGCTACTCAGGAGGCTGAGGCAGGAGAATCACTTGAACCCAGGAGGCAGAGGCTGCAGAGAGCCGAGGTTGCACCACTGCATTCCAGCCTGGTGACAGAGCGAGACTCCGTCTGATAGATAAGATAGATAGATGATAGATAGATAGATAAATAGATAGACAGATAGATAGATAGATAGAGCCTGCCCCTGACTTGCAGATTTACCAACCTATTCAGTCAACAGTTAATGGTTTAGCAGTTACTGCATCACAGAATTGTAATGCCAGAATGCTAACTTAAAGGTGTTTACGGTCTGCTGAGAGTGATTAAATTGTTCATAAAGTCAAAGAATATTCCAAACAAAATATATGTACATAAGATAAAGTGTTAGAACAATAGTGGAAGCGTAAAGAATTCAGAAGATGAATGAGATTCCAATGGACTAAAATAGAAAAAGCTTCTTGAAGGCCTTCCTTAATCTTAATGGATGAGCAAGACTGGGATGGGCAAGAACAAGGGGAGCGCAAGGTAGGCAGAGAGAGTATCATTCTAAGGAGAGAATGGCATCAGGTAAGCTACAGAGGCAGGAACACAGAAGATGGTTTAGGAGACCCTAACACATGTATGACTGGAACAAAAAGTGTACTGGGAAACAGCTGGAGGTAACATTAGAAGACAGATTATGGTCAAATGGAGGACAGCCATGAGTAGATTCTACTCTTTAATAAGAGTAAATTATACTCTTTATTAAAAGAGAAGCTCAGATTTTTTAAAGCTTAGTTTGTTTAAATCTTGCAGAGAACAAAATTTTGTATGCAGTTCCAGAAACATGGAATTGGGAAATCAGAGGTTCTGTATATAGGTGAACTTTCAGGGATAAGAGCCAGTCCTACTATCCTACCATTCCTGCCCAGGATGTGGAGGGTAGAATAATTCACAATCCCATCCAATTAAAGACTTCATTACTTAGTCTCGCATTTCCTGTATTCTATGGGAACTGTAATTCCACAATTATTTTAGAGTTTGTAATCTTAAACTTCTGGTTCTTTTCTAAGTCTCCGCCAATTACTCTGATAGAAGAGAGCTTTCCACTGAGTTCTGAACAAGGACTAATGATGGGAGTAAGGCCACATCCAATATGGTCTGCTAGATGGGGTAGCAGTAGTCCTAAACTGCCTTAAGAACCCAGCCCTAGGAGGTTGAGAGATTTATCCCTGGCAAAAACATTAAGACTCTCCACACAGTTAATCATTCACTTCTTATGTTCCATAGCACTCCCATATGTTAACAATACATAACAGAACTCAACTGTAATTACCTTTTTGTATGTCTGACTCTCTGACCTAAATAATGAGTTCCTATATGGCAGAGCCAGTGTCTTTGTTGGTGTATCCTCAGTGCCTAGCACAGTACCTGATAGACGGCAGGTGCTAAGCAAATATTTGAGCAAAGAGTGAATGAACTACAGGACATGCCAGTTACAAGTAATAACCTCTTCCAATATCCATCTTACTCAGAACATTTTTTCCTTTAAAAATAAAGTAAAAGCTCTTTGGGAGGCCAAGGCAGGCGGATCATGAAGTCAAGAGATCGAGTCCATCCTGGCCAACATGGTGAACCCCGTCTCTACTAAAAATATAAAAATTAGCTGGGTGTGGTGGCGTGCGCCTGTAGTCCCAGCTACTCAGGAGGCTGAGGCAGGAGAATCACTTGAACCCAGGAGGCAGAGGCTGCAGAGAGCCGAGGTTGCACCACTGCATTCCAGCCTGGTGACAGAGCGAGACTCCGTCTGATAGATAAGATAGATAGATGATAGATAGATAGATAAATAGATAGACAGATAGATAGATAGATAGAGCCTGCCCCTGACTTGCAGATTTACCAACCTATTCAGTCAACAGTTAATGGTTTAGCAGTTACTGCATCACAGAATTGTAATGCCAGAATGCTAACTTAAAGGTGTTTACGGTCTGCTGAGAGTGATTAAATTGTTCATAAAGTCAAAGAATATTCCAAACAAAATATATGTACATAAGATAAAGTGTTAGAACAATAGTGGAAGCGTAAAGAATTCAGAAGATGAATGAGATTCCAATGGACTAAAATAGAAAAAGCTTCTTGAAGGCCTTCCTTAATCTTAATGGATGAGCAAGACTGGGATGGGCAAGAACAAGGGGAGCGCAAGGTAGGCAGAGAGAGTATCATTCTAAGGAGAGAATGGCATCAGGTAAGCTACAGAGGCAGGAACACAGAAGATGGTTTAGGAGACCCTAACACATGTATGACTGGAACAAAAAGTGTACTGGGAAACAGCTGGAGGTAACATTAGAAGACAGATTATGGTCAAATGGAGGACAGCCATGAGTAGATTCTACTCTTTAATAAGAGTAAATTATACTCTTTATTAAAAGAGAAGCTCAGATTTTTTTAAGCTTAGTTTGTTTAAATCTTGCAGAGAACAAAATTTTGTATGCAGTTCCAGAAACATGGAATTGGGAAATCAGAGGTTCTGTATATAGGTGAACTTTCAGGGATAAGAGCCAGTCCTACTGTCCTACCATTCCTGCCCAGGATGTGGAGGGTAGAATAATTCACAATCCCATCCAATTAAAGACTTCATTACTTAGTCTTGCATTTCCTGTATTCTATGGGAACTGTAATTCCACAATTATTTTAGAGTTTGTAATCTTAAACTTCTGGTTCTTTTCTAAGTCTCGGCCAATTACTCTGATAGAAGAGAGCTTTCCACTGAGTTCTGAACAAGGACTAATGATGGGAGTAAGGCCACATCCAATATGGTCTGCTAGATGGGGTAGCAGTAGTCCTAAACTGCCTTAAGAACCCAGCCCTAGGAGGTTGAGAGATGCTGTTCCATTAAAGGATAAGTGAAACAAAATGAAAAACTCCAAAGACGTGCCTTTTAGTGGAATTGTGGTGTGAAGAATGATTTTGGTAAGAATTATTTGTGCTTTCCCATGACACGTTTGTGTTTAACACCACCAATAAACCCAAAAAGCCTGCTTAAAATTAAGTAGAAGAGGCCTGACTATAGCAGTCTCTCAATATGAATATGGGACCACAGAACTAAAATTATTTTTTGAATACTTCTGGCCTTATATTTCATCATCTTTTCTCACACATCCAAGTTCTCTCTGGTCCTCCTCATGTCTCTCATACACCAACCCAATCTAGCTCCCATAAAAGTCAACACATTTAATATTCTAATAAACTACTTTTAAGGGACTTGGGATTGGTATGGCCGGGGCACAGCAATGGTGGGGGAGGATAGTAACAAAATGGCTACCTTGGAAATCTCATTTTTTTTTCTTTCATCCCAAGAAAGTCTCAACACTTCTGCCGGGGTTATGACTATTCTACTTATTTTTTCAAGAGGAAAAAGTAATAGACTTGATGAGAAAATACGGTTATTGGTGTACATATTAGTTGAGAGAGGAAAGAGTGCTTCAGTACATAGAAGCAGTTATTAAAAAAAAGAATAGAAGAGCCTGGTTAGTTACCGTCCTGCCAAAGTCAAGCCCAATATCACAGATTGTAGTACACAGGCAAATAATTTAAAATTTTAAATTTTAAAAATTTCCACTTAAAATAATATTTCAAAACCACTCACAGACTCAAATCACAGAGACTTGGATTCAAGACCTGGCTCTGCTATTTATTCCCAAAAAAACTTCAATAAGTATTTAACCTTTTAAGCTTTAGCTTCTTTCTCTTTAAAAACAGAGACAGTGATAGCTAACCAAATAACCCCATTAGGTAGAGGAAAGCTCTGTTTTACAAAATACCAGCTGATAAATGTAAAAGGAATGATAAATTAGAAAATTATCATTTTGCAATCTTTAATGAAATTACAAATTCAGGCAAAAATTATCAACTAGTATTTAAAACCTTTAGGTAATGATTAGCGGGGAGCTGAACATTCTTAGTGTCAAAATACCGCACAAAGGAACAGCTTAATTTTATAATAGAGAGATCAGGTTGTCACCCACAGATATGGTTTGGCTCTGTGTTCCCACCCAAATCTCATTACAAATTGTAATCCCAACGTGTCAGGAGAAGGGCCTAGTGGGAGGTGTTTGAACCATGGCAGCAGTTTCCACCCTGCTGTTCTTGTGATAGTGAATTCTCATGAGATCTGATGGTTTAAAAGTATGTGGCAGTTCCCTCTTCACTCTCTCCTGCCACCATGTGAAGAAGGTCCTTGCTTCCTTTTCGCCGTCTGCCATGACTGTAAGTTTCCTGAGGCCTCCCAGTCATGCTTCCTGGTAAGCCTGCAGAAGTGTGCATCAAATAAACCTCTTTTCTTCATAAATGACCCACTTTCAGATAGTTCTTTATAGCAGTGAGAAAAAGGACTAATACACGGACTAAGCCTTTAATCTAACTTACAGTTCACAGAAATTACTAAACTGAAGGACACACCAAGGAAATAATAGGGCAAATCCAGAAGTGGGACCTTCTATAAGACAACTGGCCCAGACTCTTCAATAGGACAATATCATAAAGAACTACTCTAGATTGAGAAATTTGACAAAACAAGCAGTTAGTTATAAGATGTGGTCCTAGACTGAATCTTGGTTTAGAGAAAACAGCTAAAAGGAAATTTGGGGAGACTACTGAGAAATTTTAATGTGGATTGATTCAAATAAAGTATTCTTAATTTTGTAGGGTATGTTAAAATATTTTTTAGAGCTGCATATTAAAATATTAAGGAGTGAAATATCATATATATCAGATATATATATACACAGATATATATGTTACATAATATATATACACACATATAGTGTACTATTTTAAATGAATTTTATATGAGGTTAATAGTAAATAGTACTTGTTACTAGGTCCTTACAATTATATGAAAATTCATTTAAGAGTTACGGCTCAATGCTTTAGAGCACTGCTATTTTCTCCCTGTGACAGAGAAAGAAGTCCTCACTTTCAGTAATTAATTTACATATAGCTTTTCCATAAATCTTTTATTTACTATTTGAGAACCACCTATACCTCGGAACGAGGCCACATGTTAGGTATACAATATGCAACTTGACTTCTCTCAAGGAGCTCACAGTCTATGACTGAACCGAGTATATTATAGCAAACTATTCTTAGGAACAATTTCACAGAAGTTCCAAGAAGGTTTCAGAGGATTTGAAGGATGAATAATAGTTGCCATGAAAAGAAAGAGGAAGTAGAGTGGGAAGGAAGGAATTTCTAGTAAATAATACTTGATTATCACAACTATCCTCTAAGATATACAGAGTATTATACTCACTACCAAGATAAAGGAAACTGATGCTCAGAAAGGCTGAGGGACTTACCTGAAGACACTTGGTCAGTATACTCCTTACCATGGCCTATAAGACCCTGCATCTTCTGATCCTACTTTATCTCTTCTACTAATTCTCAGACCAACTATATCTCTTCAAATCTCCTCCTCATTTATTATACCAGACATATGTATGTTTTCTGTATCACAAATATAGTAAGCTCATTACTACCTCAACACTTTTGCACTTGCTATTTTCTCCTTCTAGAGCCATTTTTGTCACCAGGCCTCCCCTTCAGTGTCTTCTCCTCAGAGGCCTTCCCTGTCCTCCCAATCTAAAGTAGCTCCCAGTGCCTTCTCTCTAGCTCTAAGACCAAGTAGCTAAATCTCACTGTTTACAAAGTAATGGACTAGGGCACTAGACCAATGCTTCATATATCAGCAATTCCACTGCTTTTTAAGCCCAAAGTCTCTGGCCCTTCCCACACAAAAATCCTGTTTCTGGTTATTCTTCCTATGTATCTCAGCAGCCCATTACTATTCTCCAGCAGTTCAACCAGGTAGGTCAATGATCAACACTATTATCTTCATTATCACCATCACAAACATATACTGCGAATTTACTATGTACTAGGCAGTGTTTTAAGTGTTTTTCACGTATTAATTCATTCTGTCCTTACAAAAACCTTATAAAGTACTCATTAATGCTCTCATTTTAGAGGAAAGAAACTGAGGCACAGAATTTTTAAGTGCCTTGGCCAAGGTCACACAGCTATTAAGTCACAGGATTTGAACATAAGTAATCTGGCTCCAGAGCCTTTACTCTTTACATTGTCATGCTATATCAATTAAGACACTTTGTTCTTCTTAAGCGTATTTTAAAATAAAAGAGGCATCTGATAAAACATTGCAGAAAAATTCTTTTAATTCATAAAGTAAGCTATCTAAAACTCTATGCATTTACATAAGATGAAAGAAATTTCGTAATTTGTATTTACCTTGAAAATAAGCTATTATTATACTTTAAGACCTAAGTAAGCTATTAGTAGTGCTGCTGTTACATGAATTTTCAGGAAGTAATTTTTAATTCTATTGAGCTTCAATGACCACAACTATGCAAAGAGTCCTGCCAATCCTATGGGAATGTACATATATTCATGTCTACACACACCACATGGGCTTTGTCAAAAATGAATTAGGGCAAACTAGGGCAGAAAAAGACAAATTCATATCTCTATCACTAGAGAATCTTATGGAATAACAATTTCTAATGGCCTTTTATCTGTCTTCTAAGTGCAGTTTATTTTTGTTATTTATAGGTCTACTGCATAAGCATGTGCTAATCATTTGTCAGAGTTTTTCTCAAAGTATTCCAACTGTATTCTAAATAAGATCCAATTGTTTTTAACCTTTTTGTTTTCAAAAGAAAATTAATAGAAAATAATGAAAATGTCTTACCTTCTATTCCCAATCTAATCTTCTTAAGACCCCTCTCCTTCAAAACTGACTTGGCCACATCTCTGTTTTCAATATACTTGAAAAATCTATATAATTTTGTGCTATAAATAACTGGAAACAAAAAGACAAAAAAGTTATTGCATTAAAATTAAAGGATTTAGAGATGAACTTAAATTTATCTTGCTCATCAAAGGGGCCTAACAGTTCTAAAAGCCCAAATAATGGATGCAGTAATGCCAAAGGATGACTAGCCAACATGACAGGGCAGTATTCAGTATAGTTAATGTAGAAGCAAATGTCTACTTAAGTGGAAACAAGAAAAGCTTTGACAACCAATCAGAAAACCCAATCCACAGGAAGAATCTCCTTCTGAAAGATACATCACCTACACATTTATTGGAATGGGATCTGCCCCAAGTTTTAAATAAGATAATCCAAAGAAGATATCAATATCGCATCATTATCAAGCAAAGTAAAGGACTTTGCTAAGAAGTCTACAAGGCCTAGTCTAGAGGGGGAAAAACTGCCTTGTCAAAGAGTACAAAACAGATACATTTTACATTTCATGGATTGAGCAACTATTAATAATTTCCCAAAAGGCAAAGACCCTCCCCACAAACTGTTTTCCATTCAGGCGAACAGCCCCATTTAATATTGATGTTAAAAATGGCAGATTCGAGCAAGTTCTGCCCAGGTTAGTCTGTTTAGAGCAAACTGGCTTTGCAAAGGACAGACATTCCACTGACAACATGTTGAGTCTTCCAAATGTGCTGAGAACTTCAGGGAGTTAGACTGATGGACATTCCTCGCCTTCTCTCTTTCAGGTTGAGTTATCTCCCTTAAAAGGTGAACTGCAAAGGTTTTTTCAAAAAAAGAAAAACACACTCACAAACCAAACATGCTGGTTTAAGAGCCAATAAAAGGAAAATACGTATATAAACTCTACTCATGGGGTAAATTTGTGATTATTACTACATCCTTAAGATTTACTAGTATTTTAAGAAAAAGATTATTTTAGATCTTAGAAAGGACAATATATGTCATAAAGTCACATGTGGAAAAATCAGGCCAAAAGGCTATCTCTAGCTCCTCAAATGAATCTTCTTTATATTGGATCATCTTGATACAAAATAATACATATTTAGACAACTAAGTAAAAATGTTTTCAGGCCTTTTAAGCTTTAAGATAAAAAACAAGAAAATAAAAAAATATTGAAGTGAAAAGTTCAACAATGGAAAAGAAAACACCAGGTTTATTATAATTCCTTTATCACCATCATATCATTTCTATGTTCTATGGTTGGCTGTACTTTCTTGGGGTCAAACCTTTTGAAAAGTAAAATATAAGTTATAAGCTTGTTCATTCCTTTTCCTTAACAGAAAATAATTTAGTATACCTCTTTTATTTTTGACAACCTTTCATTTTTCTTGGGGTTTGTTCAACTTTTTATTCCACATATTATAGAAAAACATTGTCAGCAAAGAGCCTAGAACTGAGGAAATAGCAACAGAAATGTCTATTACGACAATTATCCACAAAGGAATCACAACACTCATTTAAGTACATCATGCAAAAGAAATACCTCAGTGCAAACTCTGAAAAGTGCTACCATAACTTGTGTTAAAATAATCTTTCAAAAATCTCCTCTAGAAGTAAAAAAGAATGCCATCTGGAGTCTGCTTTGTTTTGATTTTAGAAAAGCATATGTAAAACGGAAAAATCAGAGACAAAATGTTTTGGTACTTTCTATATTAAACCCTAATCCTTACCAAGACAACAGACTATATAGTACAGAAGAAGATGCTAGGCTATTTTATTCAATTCCTTGAGTCATTCTTTCAATTCTTCCTTATTTATTAAACTGGTCAAAAATACTAATATTGGGCTCATCAAGAAAAATAACAAAAAAATAAGAAAAAATGTTAGTGATTGTTGCGCAAGACAGGCCATTTTGGTCAGAAATACCCAAAAGAACTATAGTACAAAGGCTTATGAAGGGTCACTGTATCCTTGATGAACATATATGATATTTTTTAAAAAGGTACCTTAGAACTTCAAGTTATCCTCAAAATCAATGAGTTAAAGCTTCTAAATGTATATAAAAACAAAAACTCATTTTTTAAAAAGCTATTTTTATAAAGGAACTAGTTCTCCTGAATGCTTTTAAATACAAAGAAAAAAAATCTATCAAGTTCCAGAGAGTCAACAGATAACTAACTATGTGTGTATGGCATGGGTGGGGCATATTCTTCTGCACAGGGACATACTTTGGGCATTGCGAGCCATGCAGTTTCTGCTGCAACTACTCAACTCTGCCACTGTAGCATGAAAGCAGCCATAGGCAATACACAAAACTTAATTTATAAAAATAGGTGATGGGTTGGATTGACCCCCAGGCTATAGTTTGCTGGTCTATGAGAAGAGCTCTTTCTTTACACACACAAGAAATAATTTGTGATGATTCAGGAGAAAGAAAACATGCCAGAATACTTACTTTGTGAATATTCTTCTCCCATCTGTGGTGGATATTCTTCATCCCAATCAACCACATCATCATCTGTAAGCACCACTATATGACATTCCCGTTCCCCACTCTGGGCACTAGCTACCATGAGAGGGAGGATCATTTCTTCCAAATAAAATTCAAATTGTCTACGAGCACCATCATTTGATAACTCATGCATTAGGGCACCTGAAATGAAATCCACAAAAATATCTTACCAAAACTTTTCCTAAAAAGACTTCTTTTAGAAATATAGAATCTTATAATAAGAAAGGCCAATTAAAGGCATCCTACATAGGCCCCGTCATTTTACACATCATGAAATAACTTGCCTAATATTACAAAACTAATTTGCAAAGTCAGAATTAAAACCCTATCCCTAGCCTAGCATATTTTTCACTATACCATATTATCTTCCATCAGTATACGCAGTATGTCTTAAGGTATACCTTAAAGATACTTTTCAGGTTATCCACATAAACTGAAATAGTTCTTATATTCCATTTCCTGCATGCTCTGCTTCTCAGAAAGTTGCAAACCGATTTAATATTTCAGTGCAGGTTGAGAGGTGAGGTGAAACGGGTCAACAGTCTTTAGAATAAGGCAAGCAAAAGGTCAAGCAAAATACAACATGATGCAGGAATTCCACAGCAAACTTGACACTAGAAGTGAGAGAGCTGAAAGATAAGACTTCAACCTCCTTAAGCACAGACATAATGAACAACTTCAATTTCCTAAATGCACAGCCACTAACTCACCTGCACTGCTTTTTTCTTTTATTCCTATTGATTGGCAATGTCCTATCTCCCTATTGAAGATGCCAACATCTCAAGAACTACTGCTACTGCATCAGCATGGAGAGCAAAGTCAGAGAAGCAACCATGGCAACCATACACATGAGAGAGTGTGTGTGTGTGTGTGTGTGTGTGTGTGTGTGAGAGAGAGAATGTGTGTGTGTGTGTGTGTGTGCTGTAAAAACTGGAGAACTGGAGACGGGATGAAGGAGTACACTAGAACTCAAACCTACAGTCTCCCAAGGGAGAGCTTTTCCTCCCTACAAAATGTCTCCATAATTATATAATAAATACTATATAATTATTATAATTGATTAGATAATTAAATAATCTATATTACTATTACTTAGCCATCCTCTCTCCAGGCTGGCTATTTCCCATTGTCATTTTAAAAAGTTATCTTTATAGACAAATACCTATATTTCAACACCTTCTCTCTCCCCAGCTTCTGAACCAATTCCAATCTGGCTTCTACTCTCACTATACTACAGAAATGTCTTGCTATGGTCTCCAAATGGCCTTTATATTGTCAAAGACAATAATCATCTTTGGTCCTGATCCTATGTGACCTCTCAGTTAAATCTCCTACACTGGACCACTCTTTCTTGAAACATACTCACCCCTAAGAATCTCTGATACCATTATCCCTGTTTTTTTCCCTCCTCCTGGCTATTCTTCCTCAGTAACCTTTGCCAACTCTTCCTCCTCCAGCTGTTCATTAAATACTGGTATTTCTCAGGAAAATTTTAAGTTCTTTTCTTCTTTTATCCTATGCTGATAATTCCCAAATTTATTTCTACTAATTTAGTCTTCTGTATTCGAGATGCATTTTATTCAGCTGCTTTCTGGAAATTTCCGCTTGGATGTAACCTCAGAGGTACCCTCAACTCAATACATCCAAAATTTAACTTACCATCTCTGTCTCTCTCCACAGTATTTTTCAAATCAGTAAATGGCATCACTATCTACCCAAGTTTTCAGAACCATCTCAGTACAGTGCTGGGCATATAATGGGAACTTAAATATTAGTATACTAAATGAATAAATCCTGGATTTCTCCTTTACCTCCTAATTCAAATAATTCCCCAAGTCTTCTTAAACATACTTGAATTGTGTTATTTCCTTCTTTTGGCAGATATTTACCAAAGATAGCTGCAAAATCTCCTAAGCCACATACTTCTCTGCAAGGTGACCTTGACATCTCTTCCCAAAAAGTGGAATTTAGTTCCCCTCCCCTTTAATTAGACTGGTAATACAAACTTGTTTGTAACCAGAGGAGCATGGCTGAGGGGACAGCACATGACTTTGGAGGCTAAGTCAGAAGAAGCCTTGCAATTTCTGCCTTGGTTTCTCTGGAATGCTTGTTCTTCAAATGCTTCCTTTCTGAATGCAACCTACAGGATTTGAGAAGCCCAAGTCATATGGAGAGACTACACATAGGTATTCTGTTTGACATTCCTAGCTGAGTCCAGCCTTTGAGTCATCCCAGTCCTGGCACCAGACATGTGAATAAAGCCTCCAGCCTTGTGAGCCACCCCAGCCCATCAATTCTTCACAGATGAGGCCTCAGATATTGTGATACAGCCATAAGCCACCTCCGCTGTGCCCTGTATAAATTCCTGACCCACAGAACAAATGAGAGTAATAAAATGGTTATAGTTTATGCTAAACTTGAGGTGGTTTATTACACAGCAATAGTTAACCCAACATATTCCATCCCCTTGCCTCCATTCTGGTTCTGTTCATCATTAACTCTCACCCAAACTACTACAAAATCTTTCTGATTACATTCCCCCAACATCTGCTTTTGCCTCTCTGCATTTCATTTTCCCCACAGCAGCCAAATCTAATTGTCTCTGCTAGTCTAACCCTCTCATGACTTGTACTATCCTCAAAATAAGTCTCAAATCCTCAACTTGGTACATAAAGCCCTGCTATGTGAAAAAGAATGTTACAGATCAGAGTGTAGAATCAATCCTTTAATACATTTTCTTTAATTATCCATATACTGATGACTCCCACTTACATCTAGCCCACATTTCTCTGCTGAACTTTAGACATGTATACCCAATGCTCCACTTAACAGTTCTACTTGGATATCTAACAGGTATTTCAAACTTAACATGTTCAAAATCAAGCTTTTAGATTTTTGCTCCTCATGAAGTCTCCCCCATCTCAATTAATGGCAACCTCAAACTTCCAGTTAAAGCTCTCCTCTCCTTTCCACTCCACATTCAGTTGAAGAGGAAATCCTGGTAACCTGAACATCAAATATACCCAGAATCTGACTAGTTCTTACTGTTTCCACTCTAATCCAAGCCCCTACCATCTCATACCTGGACTTTGATCATGGTTTCCTAACTGATCTCTTTGCTTCTACCACTATTCCCTTTTTGGTCCATTTTTAACACAACAGCCAGAAGTGATTCTTTTTTTTTTTTTTTTTTTTTTATTATTATACTTTAAGTTCTAGGGTACATGTGCATAACGTGCAGGTTTGTTACATATGTATACTTGTGCCATGTTGCTGTGCTGCACCCATCAACTCGTCAGCACCCATCAACTCATCATTTACATCAGGTATAACTCACAATGCAATCCCTCCCCCCTCCCCCCTCCCCATGATAGGCCCCAGTGTGTGATGTTCCCCTTCCCGAGTCCAAGTGATCTCATTGTTCAGTTCCCACCTATGAGTGAGAACATGTGGTGTTTGGTTTTCTGTTCTTGTGATAGTTTGCTAAGAATGATGGTTTCCAGCTGCATCCATGTCCCTACAAAGGACACAAACTCATCCTTTTTTATGGCTGCATAGTATTCCATGGTGTATATGTGCCACATTTTCTTAATCCAGTCTGTCACTGATGGACATTTGGGTTGATTCCAAGTCTTTGCTATTGTGAATAGTGCCGCAATAAACATACGTGTGCATGTGTCTTTATAGCAGCATGATTTATAATCCTTTGGGTATATACCCAGTAATGGGATGGCTGGGTCATATGGTACATCTAGTTCTAGATCCTTGAGGAATCGCCATACTGTTTTCCATAATGGTTGAACTAGTTTACAATCCCACCAACAGTGTAAAAGTGTTCCTATTTCTCCACATCCTCTCCAGCACCTGTTGTTTCCTGACTTTTTAATGATCGCCATTCTAACTGGTGTGAGATGGTATCTCATTGTGGTTTTGATTTGCATTTCTCTGATGGCCAGTGATGATGAGCATTTTTTCATGTGTCTGTTGGCTGTATGAATGTCTTCTTTTGAGAAATGTCTGTTCATATCCTTTGCCCACTTTTTGATGGGGTTGTTTTTTTCTTGTAAATTTGTTTGAGTTCTTTGTAGGTTCTGGATATTAGCCCTTTGTCAGATGAGTAGATTGCAAAAATTTGCAGAAGTGATTCTTTTAAACCTTAAGTCAGGTCAGGATTATAACACTTAACAACTCTACATGGACTTCTGTGTGAACAGGGCTCCCATGAAATAGTACAATGTGACAGTCTTACAGATCATATCACTCTTTTGTTCAAACCTCTCCCATATCTTCCAATCTCACTCAGAGTAAAAGCCAAAACATAAAGGCCTTATTTGACCTAGGTGCTTTGTTACCTCTCTGACCACATCTCATATTACTGACACTCTCACTCACTCCACTCCAACTATCCTGGCCTCTCTGCTGCTCTCAAATATACGAGACAAACTCCTTCATTGTGTGCATTCACTAGCAACCCCTGCTTGGAATTTAAATTTTTATTTCCAATGAAAGTTTCTCTGGCTCCTCTTAACTTCTTCACTTTTTTCTCCTTGGCACTTATCACTAACATACCATATATGATTTATTTACTTTGTTTATCACATGTTTTTCCCAATAGAGTGTATGTTCCATTAGAACAGAAAGTTTTGCCTGGTTTGTTCATGCTGAATCCCCAAAACTTAGAACAGTGCTTAGTACAGAGTAGAGCCATTAAATATTTGTTCAATTAATAAACTTTGTTTCCTCTTTACCTCTCAGGCCTTATTCCTCACCACTCATACTCCATCCCTCTGCTCTAGCCACACGTGCCTTTTTTTGAGTTCCCTAAATGTCATATTCCTTACTACTTAAACCTCTGCACATATCATTTCTACTGCTTGTATGGTCAGCTTTCCCCTACTCTTTGCCACTCCTTCAGGTTTCAGCTTTAATGGCACTTAGATAGTGATTCTCCACAGACCCTTTGTCATACACTTCTAATAATATCTCATTTCTTCACTGCATTTTTCACAGCTTTTATTACTTGTTAAATGTTTGTCTTCCCAACTAGACTATAAACTCCATAAAGGCAGGGACAATGTCTGTCTTTGTTCATTACTACAGGTACTACACGCATGAAACTCATAAAAAGCTTGATTAAGAAGGAAGAGGGGACAAAAGGACAAGTTAAATGGTAAACTAGAAATGAATAGTTGATCAGGACGCAGAGGCACAAGAATGATATAGTGGACTCTGGGAAGTCGGTGGGGAAGGCTGGGAGGAAGTGAGGGATAAACGACTACATACTGAGTACAGTGTACACTGTCCGGGTGATGAGTGCACCAAAATCTCAGAAATAACCACGAAAAACTTATCCATGTAACCCAAAACCACCTGTATCCCAAAAACAATTGAAATAAAAATTTAAAAAAATTAAACCTGACACTTAGAAATTAAAGATAAAAGGTCGAAATCCCCAGTATAAAGATAATATTCGACACCACAGTGATGAATAGCACCACTTAGAATACGTGCAGATTCTGTGAGAGAGAAAGTAGCTAACAGAGGAGAACAACCACATTCCAAGGATCAGGAAGAAGGATGCCAAAAAGCCAAAGGAAGGGAGAGTCAAGAAAAAAATGAGTAACATTATAATTACGCCTAAAAGAAATGACTTTATTTTTCTTGAGAGAGGGTCTCACTATGTTGCCTATGATGATTTTGAACCCCTGGGCTCAAGTGCTCCTCCCCACCTCAGCCTCTCGAAGTGCTGGGAATATAGACATTAGCCCCACGTCCAGGGAAATGCCTTTAAAGACAGAGATGCCAGAATTCCCATTAAACTTAACATTGTTCAAAATCTTCTAGCCAATTTGACAAGACAAAAAAAAGACATAAAAAGTGTTATTTGTAACATAGTCAATTAACTATGAGGCATATAGGAGGATCAACTAAAAAATCATTAGAAACAAACAGGGTTCTATGAGGTGGCTACATGTACAAAATTCAGTAACTTTATTATAAGTTAGCAGTTTGAAAAGTTAAACATATTCTACACACAGCAATAATAAAAACACAAAATATTAACAAGACCAGAGCACACTATATGAAGAAAATGATAAAACTCTACTTAAAGACACAAAAGTGTGAATAAATGGGAAGACAGCATTTGGAGCTATACGTTAATTCTTCTGAAAAGTTAACTTCAAAGGATTCCAATGAAAAGTTCGAGTTATTTTTAATGAGAATGTTTTTGAACGTCTAGAATAGACATAAGTCAGATTTGAGTATGTTTGAGCCTGAGGTTTACTACACAGAGAAAGGGAAAGACTGATGATACCAGAGAGGACAACCAGTGGAAGAGGGTCCTAAAAACACACAAGAGAATACAATAATTTGTTAATTCAGCAAACATTCTGTTGAGTCCTTAGGATGTGCTACACACCATAGACACAAAGTCAAAAAGATATAGTCTCTGCCCTCAAGTCCAAACTAGTTTAATGCCACAAACTGAAAAAGAGTGCCTCAACCAGAGAGAGAGAACATGCGAGCAAATTGTATAATTTCTTCTTAAATTAAGACATAAGCCCAGATATTTTAGTGCAAAGTGCCATTCCAAATATTCAGCAAGGGCATATATTTGCAAGAAAAAAAAATTTACTTTTGGATCATTTTTAAAAGATCATATCCATCTCTTCAAATTCTATATAGTTTTTTTAAAAACATCTTTGGGAATCTCTAAATTTTTAGTAACATATATTACAAGTAATCTAAAAACAACTACAAATATTACTGAAAAGCTAAAAGTCTAGGATAATCATATTACACATATTTTACATAAAACCCTTACTTTTAATTCATAATAAATAAAAGATACTTAGTATTAAGACAAGGTAAACTATGCACAACAAAAGACTGGAGAACTAAGAGATTCACATCATCTGTAAAAAATTCTAGTTTTTTTCCTATCTCTGCCAGTCACCAAAATTCAACATCAAATTATATAAAGATTAATTTAAATGGTCATATGAAAAGACACAAAACTTGAAATCAGAGATCTACAATGCTCATGGTTTCAACTAAAACTTTTTTTTTTTTTTTTTTTTTTGAGATGGAGTTTCACTCTTGGTGCCCAGGCTGGAATGCAATGGCGCAATCTTGGCTCATCACAACCTCTGCCTCCCGGGTTCAAGTAATTCTCCTGCCTCAGCCTCCCGAGTAGCTGGAATTACAGGCATGCGCCACCACGCCTGGCTAATTTTGTATTTTTAGTAGAGATGGGGTTTCTCCATGTTGGTCAAGCTGGTCTCGAATTCCCGACCTCACATGATCCGCCTGCTTTGGCCTGCCAAAGTGCTGGGATTACAGGTGTGAGCCACTGCACCCAGCCCCTAAAATCATTTTTTAAGATGTGAAAAAACAGCAATTTTGGCCAGGCATGGTGGCTCACGCCTGTAATCCCAGCACTTTTGGAGACCGAGGCGGGTGCATCATCTGAGGTCAGGAGTTCAAGACCAATGTGGCCAACATAGTGAAACCCTGTCTCTGTTAAAACGAAAAAATTAGTCAGGTGTGGTGGCAAGTGAATCCCTTCAAGGCAGGAGAATCCCTTGAACTCAGGAGGCGGAGTTTGCAGTGAGCTGAGATTGCACCACTGCACTCCAGCCTGGGTGACAGAGCGAGACTCCAACTCAAAAACAACAACAACAAAAACTCAGCAATGTTGTTCAAATGTACAGTTGTATGTTGGATCTACTGTATTTCCAAAGTATACCTACTACATCTTTACTCCAGAAACCTCAGGTCTTAGAATTTTTTGTATTACCATGTAGGATGATATCCTGGGCACTATGGAAGACACAAATAATTCCCCAAAACAATACTATCTACTCTTTCTAAATCATTCAGTTCATTCTTTACTACCTATTTCCACTAAACTCTTCCACAGTCCTCTAGCCCACAATGACTTCCCCTTCCTCTGAACTTCTCCAACCACTTAAGTGTTGGCTTAAGTATCTAGGTACTTAATATTGATATCAAATATCAACATTTGATACTTCTCATACACTATTTTGACTTTTTTGTGCATAATCACATCTTTTCTCAGGGTTGGCGTAACAATCAGAGTAGGGGTGCTGAAGAAATGGTGAGAGAAGAATACCAGAGTTGGGATTACAACATTCTACACACTGCTTTGAGACTATATTTGAAGTTCTTGGATGAAGTCATTTAATCCTATGCATAAATGAGGGCTAGACATTCAATCTAGGATCTTTAATGATAGGTATTGTTTTTGAGAAGTATTTGTGTTTTCCATAGTGCTCATATCATCATATGTGGTAATACAAAAAATTATAAATTTTTGGATGATGTGATCAAAGAAATGAAGCCAAATGACCACACTTGACCAAAGCCAAGGATCCAAATCTAGGAGATAAAACTGGCAACAAATAAATAATATAGAAAACTGTCTAGGAGGAAATCTGGGTTTGTCAAAAAAGAAAATTATTAAAATTGAAAAAAAATTTGGAAAATTGCACAAGGAGATTATCAAGGTCTTTGCAAACTTTCATTCATAATCTAGAATGCTTCATAATTCAAATAATACTTTAAGTCTAACTAGGTAAATAGCACTAATTTCAGGCTTTTTGTTCCAATATATTCTAATTATACAAACCACTTACACACAAAACATCATACTTACTGAGATCTCTACATTTAATAGTACTATATTCAAAAGAGATGCAAAGATAGTCACATGCTTCTCTCAGTTCAGGAATAGATATGCCATCAGGACAACGGATTATTCCTGTTTTATAGTAATCCTGGAAAAAGAAAAGTAAGAAAAGCATAAAATATCTGGAGAACAAGGTAGCCAAAACTTATTATTAAGGTAGAGCTGGTAACATTTTCAGAAACAGTAGAGAACTCTGACATCTTTGAAATGTGGAAGTTTAATCTTAGATGAGACCTCCGTTCACCTACTTTTTCATTTTACCTATAAGGAAAATTCAGGTCCAAATGAATTCATCGACTGACCCTGTCATACAATTATTTAAAAGTAAAGGTAAGATTTGAATGTAGGGCTCCCTGTTACCTAATTCATGTCTTCTTTATGGCATTATACCAATGCATATGTATTTTTCTTCTACAAGTTATATTTCTATAAAACTATCATAAAGTTTTAAATTTTTTTTAAAAAGTAAGGAAATTGAATGATATATTATGCTACCTTAAATACTACCTAGATAATTTAACAAAATTTGAGGTTTTTAGTACAGAATTATAGTCCTATTCAGGTATTAAAATATGTAAAATAAGACATACCATTAGATATTCTTCTTCTAATACTACCCTTTGGTGATTCCATATGATGACAAGCAATACTAATTATTTCGAAAATCTACGTAACAGGTTGTTAAAGGACGACCCCAGAATCACAGATAAGTTACTTCAGAGATGAGTGACAAAAATTCTTTTCAATTCCACAAGGGGAAATCTGGACAGCTAAAAAAGCACTTTTTCCCCAAAATTAAGACCTGGCTTGGCCAGGCACCATGGCTCACACCTATAATCTCAGAACTTTGGGAGGCCGAGGCGAACAGATCACCTGAGGTCAGAAGTTCAAGACCAGCCTGGCCAACATGGTAAAACCCTGTCTCTACTAAGAATACAAAAATTAGCTGGGCATAGTGGCGCACACCTGTAATCCTAGCTACTCAAGGGGCTGAGGCAGGAGAATCACTTAAGCTCAGAAGGCAGAGGTTGCAGTGAACCAAGATCGCACCACTCCACTCCAGCCTGGGCGACAGAGCGAGCCTCCATCTCAAACAAACAAACAAAAAGATCTGTCTCAAGTTTCCTGAGGTTCAGAACCAAAGTAACCAGTAACACAATTTCTAAGGTTGCTGCATCAATGGAAGTGAAACATCTTCTGGTACTTGTATGACTATTCACCTGATCAAGATCAACTACTTTCCTGATCTGTCTTCCATCACAGAATCCTCCCTTCCCTCAAACTACTTAAGAAAACGGTATTTTCAGGCTGTGGCACAAACTGTCACAAACTATCAAACCTTTTTTTTTCTCTTTTTTTGAGACAGGTTTTCACTTTGTTATCTAGGCTGGAGTGCAATGGTGTGATCTCAGCTCACTGCAACCTTCGCCTCCTGGCGCAAAAGATCTTCCCACCTCAGCCTCCCAAGTGTTGGAGGCCGAAAGAATGAGGGCGGTGACCGACTCAGTATACCACTGGAGGCTATATGAGCAAACAGCAAACTGTTCTCATGAAAGCAGGTTGCTGGCAAACTGAAACTGCATCTGCCGCCCAGAACTAATGCTGAGGACAGTCACGCCCCAGGTGCAGTGTTTCTTGTGATTGTCTACGCACAACTGAAGTCTGTTAGCAATCATGTGAACCTGTGATAAATCAAGCAGCTAACCAACAGCGCCTTCTCCCGGTTCTTTGTCCCCAGTAAATACAAAGGGCTGTGGAAGCTCAAGGTCCTTGCTCACTAGAAACAAGGAGCCCCCAGCCCCTTCTTTAAACCAGATTATGTTGTCTTTCTTTTCATCCCTGCGTTCATCCCCATTCATTCAGTCCCGTAGTAACCGTCACATCCCAAGTGCCTGGAACTACAGGCGTGCCACTACGCCCAGCTAATTTTTGGATATATTCTTTTGGTAGAGATGGGGTTTTGCCATGTTGCCCAAGTTGGTCTTGAAATCCTGGACTCAAGCCATCCACCTGTCTTGGTCTCTTAGCGTGCTGGGATTATGGGCATGAACCACTGCATCCAGCCTTATGAACCAAAATCACTCAATTTAAATTACAAGTAGGGGCTCTGTATGATAAATTAAAATATTAAAAAAAAAAAAGACCGGTTAAAATCTCAAAAAAAATTTTAAAACAAAGACATCGGCTGGGCACAGTGGCTCACACCTGTAATTCTAGCACTTTGGGAGGCCAAGGCAAGAGGACTGCTTGAGCTCAGGAGTTCAAGATCAGCCTGGACAATATGGTGAAACCTCATCTCTACTAGAAATACAAAAAATTAGCTGGGTGTGGTAGCACATGCCTATAGTCCCAGCTACTAGGGAGGCTGCGGTGGGATGATCACTTAAACCCAGAAGGTCGAGGCTACAGTTAGCCGTGATCACTCTACTGCACTGCAGCCTTGGCAACAGAGTGAGACCCTGTCTGGGGAAAAAAACAAAAAACCAAAGATGTTAACAAATACATTTTGGAGATGACTTTTAATGTTTCTAAGTTTGCTAGTTATGTGCAATAAAATAATAGAATCAAGTAGTAGTCATATTCATTCTCAGATAGTAAAAATGATCGATTTACTGCATTTAAGAGAAAGAGAAGTAAATATGACTCCAGAAATGTTACTAAATACCTGAAAGAACTGCATATGCAAACCTAAGAGATTAATAATCCCCTATCCTATCATCCTGAAGGTCATAAAATTCATTTGCTTCTATTATATTATCTGTATGTGCTAAAATAAAGATGAGAACACGGCACGGTGGCTCAATGCCTGCAATCCCAGCACTGGGAGGCCAAGGCGGGAGGATCACTTGAGCCCTGGAGTTTGAGAACAGCCTAGGTAACACTGTGAGACCTTGTCTCTATAAAAAAGGAAAACAAAAAGAATTAGCCAAGCATCGTGGTGCATGCCTGTAGTCCCAGCTACTCAGGAATGAGTGGCAGGAGGATTGTTTGAGCCTGGGAGGTTGAGGCTACAGTGAGCTATGATTGTGCCATTGCACTCCATCCAGCCTGGGTGAAAGAGCAAGAAGACCCTGTTGCAAAATAAAAATATAAACAAAATAAAATAAAGATGAATTAAATGGTATTTAAGGAAAAACAATATCCTGGAATAACTCCAGAGAGATATTCAAATAGAATTCTGCTTCTAATCCAAGTACCTACTAAGAAGGGGTCTTATGATTAAGTCAATACTCACCAGAATAGCTCGAAACACAGTGGAACCAATTCCCTCTGCCACCTCATACTCTCCTTTCTCATTAGGTCGTGTAAAGTTATGTTCTCGGCCAGATCCAAACATCCTATGATAGTAAATAATTGAGAAATATGTCAATAGAATACTTCCTTCGAAAGGGAAAATAGATTTCATGTACAAATGTAAAAAGGAATTATATCATTAAATTAGTCAAGAATTTTTATCATTAATGTATTCTGGCAAACATCATAAAAGAAGGAATATTAAAAACATTTTCTTTTTGATGGTAGGGAACACTAGTATAGATTTTCTCTAAGCAACAATAAAATAAACAACAAAATTCAGAAGCTAAAGAGCTTTCCTACCACTTCTCCTCAGAAAAAAACACCAATCAATTAATCAAGGGAAAAAGGTGAGTTTTTAATACTAATCTTATCAGGAAGAAAAAAAAAAGGGAAACCATGTTATCTGTGCTTTTTCCTTAAAACTGCTGTTTTCATTGTACAGTTAATGCCATAATGCAGCACATAATAGCAGGCTAACCTGAGACAAAGTGATATGATACAGGACAAGTCAGGTTGTTTTACATTTCACAATCTTAACTATAAATGTAACAAATCCTACTCAAAATTATTAGACTTGCCTCCTGGAACTGAAAAACAAGCAATCAAATGCTGGGATAGACAGGAATTAAGAAATAGGACAATGGCAAGTTTAAGAAAATAAAAAAAAAGCTCTTACATAAGAAAATACAAATGACTTTATGTTTTTTTCAAGTCATGTTTGTTGGCCCTTCAACAGTGCAATTTCCAAAATATGTCCTTAACAATAAAAAATGTACTCTAGTACTCTCCAGAAAATATAAAAATCATGATTAAAGAAAGGTGAACCTCTAGATCCTATGGTACGGTTGAATTAAGTATTCTACTTAATAGTTTCCTAATTCAAATAGTTTTCTCTTTCGTTGTAACACAGAAAACTATGAACAACAAAGCTTTTTTATGTCAAAGTTTCCAAAAGAATGCCAACTGCTTTTTACAGTTCCCATGAATATTAATTTTCATCCCCAAAGACACACTTTAGTCAATCGGCATAAAAAGAAGGCTTTGCTAATTGAAAAAGAAGAAAAAGAAGATAGTCTTTCAGGAATCAAATGTCATGATTTAAACTTTTTACAAAAGGGGAAAGCTACTCTTTTCACATCAATATGAACACTTAAAAACCTTTTTTTTTTTTAAGAAAATATAACAGCCAAAATTTCAAATATGTACTTTTTATTCTTTCTATATATCTGATGTAAAAATATAAAGTATTATTAACAGTGTCAAGTCATATTCCTGATAATTTGTCGATAATCCTCCCCTACAACACTAAAAACACAAAAAAGTCTATAGTTCAAAGATATTTTTTTCATGATATAAAGCATAGTGTTAACATTGAAGGAAAATATTTAGTTACTCAAAAATGTATACAATATCACAACGGCAGCATTTATTCTGTATTATGAGACAATGATAAATCACACACACACACACACACACACACACACACACTCTGCATATGCAATCTAGTAAAGTACAAGTTTTTATCTCATATAAATTTCTATTTCATGCACATGCCCTTTCACTTGATAGTAGTGTAACCAAAGATACTGATTTTACAATTAAAAGGTATAGTTTGGACATGGGGAAAAATCAAGTCTCTATTGTCTATATCCTTCTTAGACTGTAGTTCCCGTAACCGCAAACTTTAAATAGATCTATTACTCTGGACCAGCACAAATCAGAAGATGACAATTATTTCCTTCATTTTGCTAACTACTTGTTGACATTCCTTTTTTATTTTTTTTTTAAGTATCTACATCAAACCGACAATTCATGCTGACTTTACAGCTAAACAACCTATTGGTTTTTTTTTTTCTGCCTTTAAACAATGCTGATTGTTTATATTTTGTGATTCAATGGGAACTCAAGTGCAGGAAACGTATTATCATTGCTAAATTCACCTGGTTAGATTAAATTTACAGTCTCAATATGTAAAGACATTTTAGTATCCTGACTTCAATAACTATTTGCTATTTTCTACTGGTACTACAAAGAACACTAGAAATAAAACCAAGTTCAAGTTCTTACTCTATCACTTTCTAGCTGTATTAACTTGGGACAAGTAATTTAGCCTCCAAAGCTCAGTTCTTTCATCTGTAAAACAGAAATGTTACATTTCAACAGAGAATTACTGTAAAACTTAAACGAAAAAATAATGGCGGTAAAAGCACCTTATAATTAGTAATGCAAATAACTGCAATAATACAAACCTGCCCAACATTGTATTTGGCTGTGCAGTAAAAATGGATGGGTCTACAACAAATCTAGTGTTATCCACTATTAGTGTCACTCGTTCTGACGTTCTTATATTCCGAGCTCCCTCTTTTGCATTTTCATATACAAACACCATCTCCCCAGATGTCTTACAGCTACCATCTGAACTTGACTGACTACTGTTTCTGCTGCTGGTCCCAGCACTGCTAATGGAACCATTTGGGGATGCTTTTTGAGGACGCGGACTGCTTGGACGAGAGGAACTGTGATCTTTTTCTCGTTCTGAAATAAAGATGTTAGACAAAGTTAGGAAATTTTCTTTTAAAAATTCAAGATCTATATATATATCTTTTTAAATGTTTGATTTATAAAAGTTGTTTTAAGTCACAGCATTTCTACTTTTCAGTTTCAAATAACATGTTAACAGAACACCATAAACATTCATTTAGTTCCAGGAATAAAACCCAAAACATCAAAATGCTTTCTAAAATCTTTAGTTGTAGACTTTTAAAAAAGATGTATAGCTGACTAATGCTAACCCAAACTAACATCAAGATTAAGGAAAATTTTATATTTTTACTCCACTTAAAAATAGAAACCCAAGGAACCAAATATTCTCACAAGTAAAATAAATATGCTTTGAAAGTTATTACAGTAAAAGATTAATAAGAATACCAATTTAAGCTGTCCTAATTACTAAAAGGGGTAACACTATTCTGAGAACACAAAGTACAATCTTTAGAATCTCACCATGTTAATAAGGGCATTCTAAAACCAGCAACTTATCTCAAAAAAAGAAGGCCCCCATCCCCCACAAAAAAGAAAGAAATTCACTAAGGGCAGTAAGAAGTATTTATTTATTTTTAATGATTTTTATGTCTACCAAATAAAGTGGCTTTAGTAGCTCATGATATATTGTTTTCTTCTCATTCTCAAGTTTGTTGAATAAAGTACTGCTACAAATTTTATGATCTATAATTACAGTCTGAAATAAAAACTAAGATTTTGTAATATGTTTCACTTAGAGACTAGATCGCTAAACTTTAAAGGTGACCTAAAAATGTACCTCCATCTCATCAGTTTCATCAGCTTTTGCCAAATTCCTCTATGACTCAAACTACTTAGAACACTCTGTACAGCATTATTGATTACATAATTAGGTTTGACATATCTCCAGAGATACTCTGACGCCTCCCTTTTATTGCCTGATTCTACAATACTGGTAGCATCCCAAAAGCAAAATTTGCTAAAGCAGTATTAATGAAATAATGTATCATATCCTGCTATTCTACTCCCAGATACTGACTTTTTCATGTAACAAACTGTCAACTCTAATTTATACTTTTGTTGCTGTCTGGCTTATAAGTGCTAGTTTGACTTCAAGGATCAACTGAAACATTGACAACTTCTCTCATAATTAGACCCTAATATTAATGATTCTTATTTACAACAGATTATCAGAAACTACTGCTGCATATAGTAAGTCAAAGTTTTAATTTGTCCCTTCTGCGGGAGAAAATAAAAATCAGCAAGCTCACATGCTAAGGTACCTCTTCTTCAGCTGGTGTTTTATAGTCACACCATGTGTTCACCTGGGATAACAACGGTCATTTATAATAATGAATAGGAAGAAGGGAAAGACCTGAGCTAGTTACTAACAAAGTAAAACACATCACACCTTTCATCTATTTTTATTATTAAATTTGAGATATTGTCAAAAATCAGAATAAATAACATAATGGCTATTCTACCTTTCAGGTCCTTTGTTAGCATGATAATAACTAAACTCCTATCAATAATTTACTACAAACTATTGCTATATATTTCATAAGACAAAAATTAACTTGAGAACTTTGAAAATCTATATATCACAGTTTCAAAGGCTTTTCAAATTACTTATTTTATAAGACTGTACCAGAGGTTAAAAAATTCACATTCACTTTGCATTTAATAAGCTGTTTTTTCTTTCACAGCAAGAACCAAGCTCAACTAAAACAGAAACAACTGAATAGAAGAAGCTAATTACACTCTGCTGTATTAGGCACAATTCAATGTCATTACTACTTTAAAAAGGTAAATGCATGTTTTTAAGAATTGTTAGGAAGGTTAGTTGATTTTACATACCAACATGGTGCTGTCGTGTTGGAGAAGTCACATTTCTGATACAAGGAGTGAGTTGAGACTCTGTTCTTTCATGAGATGAATCTCGTGATCTGTCACTTGACCTTCGTCTATCTCTTGATCTCTCATGACCCCCACTAGCACCATGTAGACTCATTTTGGTGTGGTCGACTCCTCCCTTAGCAATACGCGAGGATGTACTGATAAGTTAGAAAGGAAAATTAACCATAAAAGCAGAACGTAAGATTGCAAACATTTTAAAAGAAAAACCCGAGTAACATAAAACTAATATATTGAAGTGCAAAAATGAAATGCTACTTTCCAATTCTGAAACCTAATTTACCTCAAACTTGTAGGCTTTAAAAATTCTGGAATGTGTCTTTGAAGACTGCATAGTTGAACTCAGTTTTTTCTGAACGAGAAAACTAAAGCTTAGAAAGGTTAACTAACATATGAGTTAGTAGAAGTTGTAGTAATAGTAGTAGATCACCCAGATATCTTAAATGTTACTCAAATGTTCTTTTGATTTCCTTCATTGTGGGGGAAAAGAGAAGGCAAGAGCTTCTGGAACTCTTAAAAAACTGAGGAATGGGGCAAATAAATTAGTCTCCCTGCCAAACAAAGTAAGTCTACATGCTAACTTCAATCAACCAACTTTGAGTTGAGTCTTTTCAAAACACTATGATTTTTTTTAAAGTTTTTCTGAAAAGCATTTCTCAGCCAGGCGCAGTGAATCATACCTGTAATCCCAAAGCTTTGGGAAGTCAATGTGAATGAATCGCTTGAGGTCAGGAGTTCGAGACCAGTCTGGCCAACATGGCAAAACCCTGTCTCTACTAAAAATACAAAAATTAGCTGGGTGTGGTGGCACACACCTGTAATCTCAGCTACTCAAGAGCCTGGGGCACAAGAATCGTCTGGGAGACAGAGGTTGCAGTGAGCTGAGATCACGCCACTGCACTCCCGCCTGGGGGACAGAGCAAGACTCTGTCTCAGGGAAAAAAAAAAAGGAAAGAAAAGTATTTCTCTGAAAAACCTAACAAACCTACCTACTCTGACTACATAAAGTCACAGAATTTTTAAAAACTTAAAAATATCTTATATATAATAAACTTCTCCACCAGAAGTGAAAAACTCAGAATGTTGATTAAAATAGTCCAGTTTACAGAATATTTTAACACAATTATGTATTAAGTTACACATACTACATGTACAATGCTATGTTAAATGCCAACAGAAAGAAGCTTCCTCAGGAGCTTGTTTTCTAAGTGTAGCAGTAATAGATGAACATGCAGAACTTTAAACAAGTCAAGAGTTATCCCAACTTCCAAATATAAAACTACTAAACAGTTCCCAAATACGTAACTACTAAATGGGTATTAGATAATAAATGCTTTAGGATCTCAAAGAAAAAAGACATTGCTATAGAGTAGCCACTAGTGTATCACTAGTGTCCAGCTCCTGACAAATAGATAAAATTTCAATAATTAGAGTACATTTTGCAAATAAGAAAACTGATGGTAATAAAAATAATAAAGCCAGACCTAAGGCAATTTGGAAATTTACTATGTTAGCATATACTATGGTTTAAGCAATTTGAAAATTTGCTATGTTAGCATATACTATGGTTTAAAAATATTAAAGTACTTTTTAGAAACAGAAGGAACTTCATGGCTTTAAAGTAAAATTGTCTAATGCTTATTGCTTGACATTTTGAATGATACTTAATATTCTGGAAACTTAGGTTTCTCATTTGTAAAATGTAGATTCTATTTATTTTCTAAGGTTAATAGGTGAATTAAATGAAGTATAATAAGTAAGCTGACCAGCAATGTACCTGGTACAACATAATTACTCAAGAAATGTTGGTTTATTTAGTTATGACAGATGAGGATATTAAAGTTCAGAACTGCAAGACTTGCTCAGGGTCACACGGTATTTAGCAGAAATGCTAATAACACTATAACCTAAGCCTTTTGATTCATTCCAGTGCCCCTTTCATAATATTATACTGGTCTCCTTTAGCAAAACCATATGAGTTAAAATTCAATCTTGGTGATTCAGAAAGCAAAATCTTTCAGTGTCTCTGGGTCATCTCTTTGGTTGATTTTATTAGCTTTAATATTTTTTGTTATTTTGGTGGTTTCTTTCATTATAAAAATCAGTCATCACCTTGCTATAACAGACTACAAGGACAGAAGATAAAGTTGACTTTGTATTTATCCTGAAAGTTACTTCTAGGGAAATAAAGGCAACCTAACAGCCTTTATCAGTTATTTGTTTCTCATAAACCTACAAAGAAGAATTCTACTCCCACCTTCATTCTAGTGAAAAAAAAAATCAGAGTACAGCTGCATCAATAGAACAAAATCTTTTCTTTCAAACAGAACAAATCAAAAGATCCTACTGCACTCATGTTTTAAAAAAATCGTTAGAGTAGGAATACTGGAATTTCTGGCTTGTTTTCTAAAGTAGGAAAAAAAAGGAATCCACACTAAATAGAACAAAGATCATATATAGAAAAAATAACTCTTCAAATTATTCTGGCGGCTAAGTTTTCATCATTTTCAACTATAAGAAAGCACATTATCTAAATGTGACTCTGGTAATTTAATGGACAAGGTACAAGCACAACTACGAGTAAGACAAATACAAGCTAAATGTTCAGTGTGAGTAAGGGCCAAGCAGACTGACTAATTAAAAAAGCGTTTTCACCAGACATCTCTGTAGCTGAAAGACTAGACACTGCTAAAATATTGGCTTCATTTCTAAAACACTTAGATTTTAAACGAATTCAAAAGGTGTCATAATACACTTTCATATTTTCTTTTAATTCCCACATAGACCGAACCCTGAATCAGACCTTCAAAATCAGATGTCATGGAAGACAAATTATGTCCTACTATATTTAATTCAATACTTTTAGATTAAGAAAGCACTCTAAAGGCAAAAACAGTTAATATGTACAAAAGAAAATGAGGATGAGCAAGTTCAGAGGGGAAAGCTCTGCTTCAGGCTGCACTGAAGCGTTTGGGATTCATGAACTAAGGATAGGTAAGGACATGAAGACTAGATTAGCCCTAATACCTATTTCCAGCCAAGATAGAGTAACAAGGGCTGAGTTTATACTCCTGTCTGAAACAACCCAAGAAACCAAACAGAATATATGAAACAATAGTCTGCAAGACACGGCACATCACGCAATGAAGGAGAGCAATCACTGAAAAAATGGAAAGCAAATGAGATAGGCCCAACAATTGTCCCAAATTACTATCTTGAGAGCATTTGCAAAGTAAACACAGAGAGGGAAAACACAAGCAGAACCCAGTGGACTGTGAGTGAAAGACATGGAGCTGAGACACTGGGATAAGAGATGGCTAGAGTTCTAAGGGAAAAGTAACACAGAGAGAAAACCTCAGAAATTTGCAGAGTCCTCCTTGAGTACTGAGCTGGATACCAGTCACACATGTGAGGACACTATGAAAAGCTGGGGAAAAAACCAACTCAAAGGATTAGAGGAAATAGTGCCCAGCACTCATACAGGGCCAGGAATAAGTCCTGTTCCCACTAGTTCAGACTGGAAAGCCTAATAATTTTTAGGGCATTGGGAAGAGAATTAGAAGACTCTAAAATGGGAAATAATTACAACTAGACTGAGCACTGTTCCAGTTCCCCTAACAAATTTTAACATCAAGACCAAAAGGACCACACTGTTTCCATATAGCTAAATCCTAAAGCAAAGCTCAAGAATATTTGTAAGTATAAGAAATATCAAACACACAAATGAAGTAAAGTTTACCATGTATAGCATCCAATCAAAAATTATCAGGCATGCAAAGAAGTGAGAACACATAACCCATGAGGAAAAAAAAATCAAGTGAAATAAAACGTGAACTGACACATATGTTAGAATGAGAAATAAAAATATTAAAAAGTCACTATAACCATAGCCCTCCAAAAAGAAATGTAGAGACACACAGGATTAAAAAGATGCAAATCAAGCTTCCAGAGATAAAAATGTTTACATGTGAGATAAAAAGTATACTAAATGGCCCTTTAAAATGACTATAGTTAACAATAACTTACAATATATTATCAAATGGTTAGAAGACAGAACTTTGAATGTTCCCGACATTTTTTAAAAATTTGATGGGTGCAGCACAGCAACATGGCACAAGTATACATATGTAACAAACCTGCACGTTATGCACATGTACCCTAGAACTTAAAGTATAATAATAAAAAATAATTTAAAAAAAAAGATCAATGTTTGAGGTGATAGATATACTAATCACCCTGATTTGCTCACTACACACTGTATACCTGTATTGAAATATCACTCAGTACCTCTAAATATGTATAATTATTACATGTTACACATCAATTAAAAATAACTTTAAAAAAGAAAAGCACACTGAATGGAATTAATGGGAGATTACACATTATAGTAAAAATGATTAACAAATTTGAAGACAATGCAATAGGAAATATTCAAAATAAAAAAGACAGAGAAAACAGAAAAATAAACAGCATGAGTAAGCTGCAGGTCAATTTCAACTGGCCTAATATAGGTATAAATGGAGTCCATGAAGGAAGTGGGAAGGAAAAAAAGGGAAGTAATATCTGAACTTTCTCCAAATTTGGCAAAAATTACAAACCCACAGATTCAATATGCACAACAAATTCCACACATACTTCAAAGAAAAAAATGAAAACAAACCCTGTCAACCTAGGTTTGCCATAGCCACTAAAAACATCTTTCAAAAATAAGAAGGATCTGCACTGATTTGTTGGAAAAAAATAAGAAAGTACAGACATTTTCAGGCAAAAAAAGACAAAGGAATTCATCATGAGAAGACCTGCACTACAAGAACAGTTAAAAGGTAGTCCTTCAGGGAGAAAAAAAAAAGCTAATGCCAGATGAAAATATGAATCTACACAAAAAAATGAAGACCACTAGAAAAAGTAACTGCATGGAAGAATATAATTTTTTTCTAATTGTTTAAATCTCTATAAAAGATTAAACAATAATGATAATAATAATAGAATAAGGGGTTTATAACATACACATAAAACTACAGCAGCACAAAGTCTGGGAGAAAGAAATCGAAGTATATTATTGTAAGGTTTTTACACCACACAAGAAACAGTATAACATCACTTGAAGGTATACTGTGATAAGTTAAAGATGTATACTGTT